CACAAGAGTATAATTCTCCAATTTGGAGATTATTTCACTATACAAAAAATAGTATGATTACAAAGATGTGTTCACAAAATTTGACTCACACTTGGTGGTTCACTCAAGCTTGAGGATAAAGACTTCCCAAGTTATATCTATTCTATCTCAAAAAGGCTCTCTAACTCTCTAGTTTTTTACTCTAAGAAATGAACTCTCTTAGTATTTTTTGATAGTTAGGAATAAAGTCACTCACCCCTAATTATACTACTCCACCTCCGCAATGAATTGTGGAGATTACTTATATCCAAGGGTCCAAATGTGGAGATTAATTATCTAGAATGCTCCACACACTCTAAGAAGCTCTACACTCTTCCATTCCTTTCATATTCTTCCATGCTCTTCCATTTCTTTCATATTCTTCCATACTTTTCCATAAGGTTCCACACATCTCCAAAATATTTCAAGAGGATTTCACACTCTTCCACAAGCTTCTAGAGAGTTCTACACTTCTCTAGAGTTCTCTGGAATATTTTAAAAAATTCTACACTTCTACAGAAAGCTCTAGAATATTTTAAAACCTCTCCAATTAAGGAGAGATCCAACATAAAAGTGAATAGGAGAGCCATGGTTTCCTGATAACTGTGATTTTATTGAAACAAGCTTTGGAGTTGGAGTTTATATTTATAGATGATATATTTGCAGGGTTGTGTTGGATTTCTTCTTCGTGGTCTTTGAATCCAATTAAAGGCCCCAGTTTTTTTATGAGGGCTATGCTGGTATAATATTGCAATGCATATAAGTAACTTGAATCCCACAATGGTGAGATACTTATTTAATAAAAACTATATATTCAACCACTAACTTTCGTTAGTATTGAGTGAAACGGATAGTCTTAGAAAGAGTTTTCAATGTTGCTTTGTTTGTGTACATTTTAACACGTGTCTTGTCGCATATATTTTTACCTAGCAGATTTTTTATTTATTTATAAAAAAGTTACTTTTTCATTTCTTGCGGATAAAGAAAAATTGATGTTGAAAAGAAATTTTCAGTAAACCGCTCTAACTCTTTTAAACACCATATAAACGTAAATGTTGTTATTTGAATTCAAGGCTTTTAGGAATATCAATATTTGTTTTTATCATTAAAATTATTTGATTAGTTATTTTAATTAATTTAAGGTGATTATTAGGGGCAAAACCATAAATTGTAAACTGCGGTATTATAATTTAAAAATTAAAACATCTTAATAAAGTCATGTACATTAATGCATAACATTAATACCCTGTAAATTAATGTATAATATGGATAAAATATGGGTATAAATGAATAGAAAATTTGATGAATTGTTCGTATACGTTAGTTTATTAAGCAAAATAAACAAGTATGAAAAAAATTTATATTCGCTTAACAAATGAATAAACACTAACAAGGTAGTGTTTAGTTTGTTTATATTCATGAATAAGTTTGTTTATTAACTCATCTATACACATGTTTATTGACTCGTTTTATTATTAATGACATTTTCTTATAAAATATTAAAATGTTATTCCTCTATTTTTTTAACTCACTAATCTAGATGTGCTTACTTACATCGGTGTAAGCAGGGACGAAGCTCTCTTAGGGCCCAAAGGGGTCCCGATCCCTGTTAAAATTTATATATTCTATACAATTTTGGTTTAATTGTATTTTGGTTCATGTAAAAATAAATATTTAAATTTAAAAATTATAAAAACTTATTAAATATTTAATCAAGTAGGGGTTGAACTAAAGAATGATAAGTCTGTGTTCTCAATTTTTTGGTCTAATTACAATTTAAGTCGGTGTAAGTTTAATATATTATACAAATTAGAAATTGTCTTTTGAGTTTTGAGTTTTTTTTTTAATTTAGGCTGAATACAAAGTAATATTTCTACAAAGACTTTCAACTATTTGACAATGAACGCTCATACCCCTACATACGTGCTTGAACTCGAGACCTCAAGGATAACAATAATCCCTTAATCACTAATGTCATTTGGTTCATGTTGAATTTTGAGTTTAAAAACCTAATAAGTCTTTATATTTTTCTTAAATAGTTTAATATTCCGGCCCTGCCAATATTTAATTTTACTTCGTCCTAGGGTGTAAGTAATTGAGTATGTATTTATGATTAGGTAATATGATAGTGAAATATATACACACTTACACATGTACTTAAAAAATATATAAATCTATCACTATCTTTGTACTTAAGAAATAAACACATACTTATATAGACATAACTATGTACATTACCACCATTCATTTTTAAATTATTTTGGCCATCAATCTATTCAATTTTTAAGTTATATTTTTACTAAAAGAAGTTTTTATGATATGATTATCTTTGTGAGGTGATTTTGTATTTTTAATTAGTTGTACTTTTATAACCTTATTTTATTTTATACATATTTTTTTGATAATTCAGATTTTATTATCCAAGAAGCAATGTTTTGCTACAAAAAATCATCGATCCTAGAAAACATCAAGAATATACAGACTAATTACAAAAAGAATGATTGGTATTAATCAATACCCCAAGCAATACAAAGAATGGAGTTTACATCATCGATCCTATTAATATTTTCCCCCTTAGTTTAATTCCTACCAATTCTTTGATACAACTAAGTAATTCTTCAGTGCTTTGAGAACATCCTTTGAAGATTCTTCGGTTGTGTTCCTCCCATAAAACATAGATGGTGGCGTTCCAAGCAAGTTTGAGAATAGTGATTAGTAATGATTTACCTTTCCAAGAGTTGCTAGCCCAAGTAATCATGTCCTGCCAAGATAAAATAGTCTTGTGAATCCCATTGATATGTAAAATCTGCTCACGTAAATGAGAAGCAGTCTGGCAATCAAAGAACATATGATTTCGATTTTCCAAAGAATCATTACAAAGAACACAACTTTCATTAGAGACAATGCCTATGCATTGAAGGCGATCACGTGTAGGCAGCCTATCGATCACTGATATCCATGCAATGAGACTGTGTTTAGGGATGTATTATGGGAACCATATTATAGATTGCCAAGGAACTTTTCCCCCTTCGTTCTAATCTCTTGCCAGATTTGCCTTATCGATAGAGCTCCATTCTGAAAGGTCGAATGAGCTTCGGTTCGCAGCTTAAGTAATTTGTTGAAGCTCCAGCTTAGAGTTGAACATGTTTCCATTTGCCAAAAATCATTGCCCTTAAGAACGTAAGCATTTATCCATGCAACCCATAAAGAACCTTCACTAGTAAGGATATTCTTTATGAGTTTGATCATACATACTCGATTCCACTCTTTTAATTTTTTCAGACCAATGTCTCCCTCAGATTTCAACTGACAGATACTGTTCCAGTTAACTCTCGCACCGTTAGCCGTTTTATCAGAGCCTTTCCAAAAGAATCGACAACACAGTTGTTCAATCTTGTTGATTACAAAATGAGGTAGCAGTAATTGCCTGCACCAATAATTAGCAATGATGAACAACACTGCTCTGATAAGCTATAATCTTCCTGCGTAGCTGAGGTGTTTGTTGGACCAGAAAAGGAGCTTTGATTTGATGCTATCAATATGTGATACATATTTTTATGTTACACCGATAAATATATTAATAATAATAGATTTTGAGGGGGTGAATGTTAGATTGAAATGAGATTTTAGATTTTCTATTACTAAATATTTTATAAAAAAAATAAAAAATATATAGGATCAATTTTTTAAGGGGTATCAAAACTTTTTAATAACAATAATATATTTTTAATTTTTTATATTATATATATAATTTATATAGAAAAATATAATTTCTAAAAAAATTGATTCTATACTGACTCTGACAGTGATGATTATAAGGTAGTATTTATTCTAAATATTCTCAACCATTTAACAATAAAAACTCAAACACTCTTACAGTCTCTGATGCTCGAACTTGGGACTTCTAGGGATAACAATTGTCCCTTTCTCCACTACAGTTGCTTGGTTCATGCCATTTGATTAATCATTTTAAAATATATTTTTAGTTAGCCATCAAGCACACCTTCACCATAAACTATGATTCAACAACCTCAAATTGCATGTACTCACTCATCACATATACCCATATTTAGTGATATTCAATCAGCAGAGGAGGGAAATATAATAAATGTCTCAGAATTTTATTACTCTTTTAAAGTGAAAATGGATGAATACAAATGAGATGAGAAGACTCTCTATTTATCGTTAACTCTCACTCAATCAATTGTCGAAATCTGTTTACATTGCTAAGATCTATCAAATCAATACCAGATCCCCTAAGTCAAGAAAACCAAACCCAATTTATATCAAACAAGAATAATATATGATAATATATTATAACAAATTAAATTCTTAATATTGTATATACTTGAAAAAATTGTTAACTATAATATATGATAACAAATTAAATTCTCAATATTTACACTCTTGAACAATTTATTATTGATTTTTAGTCTTAATTTGACTATTAATTTTTTTATCAATTTCTTTAAAATTTAAAATAAGTAATTAAATTTTTAACAATGATAATATAATAATGATTAATGTAACAATTTAGATGTATTTTATTATTAATATAATATAATATTAAGTTAAAAATAATGTTAGAAATATATTTTTAAAATTAATTTATTATAAAATTGTATAAGACTATGTACCGTCAAGTTTAAAAAAAATATGCATATAAATAATGATGTGTATTTAAATTATCACATGAATTATCATATCAATTATATAGAAAATTTGACAATCTAATAATTATCATTACTAAACTCAAAATAAAAAATATATATATATAATAATTTTATTATTGTAATATAATAATAATATACATTTTCAACTAAAATTTACTCTCTTTTTTTATTCACAATCCTTTTTCCCGCTTTCTGTCTGTCTTGCCCAAAAAGCTGTCGTTTTAGCTTTCACAGTTCTTATCAAAACGCAGCCGCACACCTCCGTTTCCTCCCCATTTAAAAAACCGAACCGAACTAATCGAATAATGTGTCACCACGTATAACATCCACGTGTAGAAATTGTGTGCTTGGAAATTTTGTTTCCACCAACCGTCTACGCGTTCATGCTCTACTGGCTAAATCTCAACAACAATAAGGGTATTAAAATGGCCGCGAAAAGATGTAAAGAACCGCGGACATCTACCAAAATGGCGGAGCAAGCTTGTTGCAGATCAGGAGAAGAGAAAGAAAATGGAGAATCGAAGGGCATCAGCGTATGCGGCATGCAATTCGCATACGAATTGCAGCATCCGCTCTTCTTCGATTTCAATCTCGATATCACTCGTGGATCTCGTTGCCTTCTCGTCGGTGCCAACGGATCTGGTAATTTCAATCACTTTCGATTCCATTTTAATTCTAACAACGATGACTTCTCGAAAAATAAAGTTGATTCTATTTGTTTTCATTGTGAGCAGGGAAGACGACGTTGTTGAAAATTTTAGCAGGAAAGCATATGGTCGGTGGAAGAGATGTTGTGAGAGTACTTAACCGTTCGGCTTTTCACGACACTCAACTTGTTTGTAGCGGTGACTTAGCTTATTTGGGAGGGTCTTGGAGTAAAACTATTGGCTCCGCTGTCAGTAAAATTTCCTAACTTTTTTATTGTTTTGAGATTAGGTTTAGTTTTGAAAATTTGAGAAATTAGTCTATATATTCAGAAATTTGATTATTTTACTTAGCAAAAAACAGTAGTTCAAGTTTATATGTTAACTGATAACGAGACTAACTTCTCTGTTTCACTGAAAAACGAGGATAACCTTTGACAAATTAAATATCAACTTTTCAGCTTTCTTAAAGTAGAGAATGAAATTTGTAATTAAGATCCTAATGATCAATATCCACCATTTTTTAACTGTAATTTTACTGGGACCAACATATGCAGGGGGAGGTTCCATTGCAGGGGGATTTCTCAGCGGAACACATGATATTTGGAGGTGAGTGCAAATTATCTTCTTATTTGATTTCTGCTTTCCCTACTTGCTCCTTAGTTCACTTTTGAAAGTAGACAAGTTTCTTTTTGGATCCAATTTTATTGTTGGCAGTTGAAGGGATTGATCCTGCGAGGAGAGATCATTTGATTGAGTTACTTGATATTGATTTGCAATGGCGAATGCATAAGGTATCTGATGGGCAACGGCGTCGAGTCCAAATTTGTATGGGTCTTCTTCATCCTTTTCAGGTATATTTGAAGTTATGAATGTGCTATTTTTGTGTGATCAATAACAATAAAGCTTTACGAATCTCCTATTGCTATAATCTAGGACTGATTACTCGTTCTGGGTAATTTTGTGACTTTGCTATTTTGCATGATTACTCGTTTTTCTAACTTGTTTGCTGCAAACTTCATTTTTCAGGTTCTTTTGCTAGATGAGGTTACGGTGGACCTTGATGTTGTTGCAAGGATGGATTTACTTGATTTCTTTAAGGAAGAATGCGAACAGGTACTGACTTCAGTTCTTTGTTCTTACATTTAAATGCTGTGTGGACTGATATTGGAGTGGTATAAAACGAGAGGTTGCGTTTGAATAGGTGCTGGAACGTCGCTGGGTTGAATATTTCATAGGAAAAGCATATAACTGTTATAACTTTTCATCATCTGGTATGTTCTTTCTGCAACAGTCAGTCAAAATGAGAGTTTCATTTTGATTATAGACTTAGGGTACATTTGATACGGCTTTCTAAAAGTACTTTTAGTTAAAAAGCTTGTTTTGACCGCCAAATTAATGTTAAATGGTAAAAAATGAAAAACAAAATTGTGGTGGGAACGGTGGTTTCAAACCAACCGTAAAAACTAAGATTTATAGTTTTTTCATTTTCAACTTTACGTTTGTAATCAAATTATAATTTTACCCTTAATAATGCATGAGCTCCAATCAATTATGTATTTACATTTTATTTTAATAATTTAGTACTAACATACTTAAAAAATTAATTTATTACTTAATAGTTTATTTTAATTACTTACAAATAAATAAAATTCATAGTTTATATATTAAAATATTAACAATGAGTTATTATAAAATATATTTTTATTATAATCATATATATATATATATATTATATTTTAAATTTACAACATTATGTCTATAATGAATATTTTATCTTTTCAAACTTACTTTTTAACATTAATCTCAGACAGTTAAATTTTAAGTTGCACTTCTTACAACACTTTCAAAAGTCAATTTTCAAAAATTATACCAAATTGGTCTTTTGTCTTAATTCTTACATAGGCTCACTTATTCAATTGCTAACCACATCTATAACATAGACGTTATTGTTACTGTTCAATGTTCTTGTTACTGTTCAATCACTCTTTGGTGATTGCTTTATTCTACGACCAAAGATCTCATGTTCATTCTCTAGCTAATATTTTCTATTGTATTAGAGAGGAGCCACGATCGTATATGCTACCCACATTTTTGATGGGTTGGAGAAATGGGCAACACATCTGGCTTACATCCAAGATGGTCAATTGAAGAGATCCGGGAAGTTAACCGAAACGAATGAGTTGAAAATCTCAGAAAATTTGCTGTCTGTCGTTGAAGCCTGGCTTCGCTCTGAAACCAAGTCTGAGAAAAAGAAACCTTCTCAAGTCCAGAAATCCTCGCCTTGCGGAACTTCTCCTTTCATGTCGTCGAGGCACATGTCATACTACCGTTGATCTCTCTGAATCCGGTTATTTTTCAATAATTTTTATACGATTAGCAAAGTTCTTTCGTAGTCATCTATTGAGACGTATAGTCGGCCACAATTGCTTTATACGCTTGTTTAGCTCATGGTTATTTTTCAATAGTTCTGTAATTTGTAATCTACTTTGGCAGTGAAATATCTATATGATTTTTGTTGAAAGAAGTCGATGCTGAATAGGTGCTTCTGGATCTTGTTGGCTATACAAGTGAAGCCCTGATCCAACAATATGCCTTCGGGAAATAATGTTGTAATCTCATTTAATTAACGGAAATGCTTTGAGTTCGATTTGCAGATATCTTCTATGTTTTTCTGTGTCTATAAATGAAGGCATTGTTGCTTATTTTTCTGGGTGTAAAGGGTAGTCTCTTTAGAATTCTATGTTTTAAAATTATTAAATGGTGAAATTCTCTTTTGACCCCTCAGAATGATAAGTTTTAGTTTAATTCTAATAAAAAACTGTAATTTGAAACCAAAAGTGATGTAGTTATATTTTTATTTTTAAAAAAATTATGAAATCTTATTTTTTTCTATAAAAAAGTATCTTCGCCCATTTACAACTTGAATTTTGATGTGTCATTTTTGTTTGATGTTGCTTTCACCCGTCGGCACAAACGTGTGTCATCGTCATTAACCAAACCATGCATTATTATTACTTTTAAATTAATAAATTATTTGTGCAGACCCAACATATATTTTTACCTTTTAAGCGGTCACGTATTTTTAAAAATTAATTTAACGGGGTTGATATTTCATATTTATTGAAAAAAATTAAAGTTTAAAATTCGATGTTATTAATAAATTAAACTAAACTGATAAAATCATAGACTTAAACGTGTTAAAAATATAAATGTATTTTAAAGGTTAGAAGTTCGAATATTGACGTTTGTGAATGGAGCAAATTGGGTTGGGATGGGTTGGGAGGGTTGCCCTCGCCTCTGCAGTACTAAATCTGGATTAGTCGGTCAATAGACCAGATAACAGTAATTAATTTAAAAAAATTATTTATCTTATTCTTCGTATTTCTTTAAATCATATTTTCTAGGCTGATTAGAAGTACTTCTCTTCTTTGCCCTAATATTTTTTGTCTCATTCTCTTTTAAGTAAAATTAAAATTAGATTTAAAATTTATTAAAAAAATAGATTACATATAAAAATATATTATATATTTTTAAAATATTTAATTTAATTAATTGATTTATAAATTAAATATTACTAATTATATAACAAATAAATTTTAATATTATATGGGCTTAATAAAGCAGCATTGACCAAGAACGAGTTAAGACCTTTATTATAGTATTTTTCATGTCATAGCTTTATTTGTTAATATTATAATGATTTAATTTTATATATTATCAAACTAATAATTAGAATACGTTAACAATTAAAAGAATTAGTTTCATTTTAAATTTGTCCTTAAATTATGATTTTATTCAAAATTAATCCCTAAATTATAAAACATTTTTATCGTAATCCTTTTGATCATTCTTTTAGTGTACCTTTTACTTTACCGGTTAATAAAACTTAATATGTTTTTGAAGATTCTGAATTTTTTTAGGTTGAGTTTCATGATCTTAAAAAATAGATTAATTTTTTAACTAGTAGAATTAATGACGTTTTAATCAATTTAGAATGTTCATAACTTGAAGACTCATACAAAATATAATGATAATGATATTATGAGAATCGACATAGAATATTTTAAAATTTATGAATCAATTTAGAATGTTCATAACTTGAAGACTCATATATAATATTTTTAATGTTTAAAGACTAATTTAAAAGCTTACATAAAATTTAGAGACTAATTTAAGATGACATCATAATTTAAACATCTCCTTTATATGTTTGTTTACACAAAATTCACTATCATAATTTCCTTCTTATCATGAAAAAGAAAAATTAGAGACTACCCCAGATATCTAAGAAAGTTAATAATGGTAAAAATCACTACCAAAATGACGTGTGCTTAGTCTTTTAACTTCTTAGCTTCATCTCTGTGTCCTGGCTATGCCGGCCGCGCTGTTTCATTAAATAAATCCCCTGAAATATTCAAGTCTGCGGTCATCCTCGCCCCCACATTTCCCCTTTAAAAATGGTCTCCACCTTTCCTTTATCCCCTCCACCATTTTTCTGCTTCATCTTTCAAATGATGAAAGGAGGATTCAACGTGGTTCATGCGAGTACTCTAGCTATGATCCAGCCTCACCGTGAACCTCTATGGGATTTCACTACCACCGCCGTCAGTTCCGTCCCGAGGCAACAAGCACTCAAAACACGTTGCGTACACTCGGAGAGAAATGAACTCTCCGAGTGGGTCGAACAAGTCACCAAGCAACTCCTTGATGACTTGCCGGCTGAGAATACCGAAACCGATGATCACCGTACCATCTTGCAGGCAGCTGATACATCAATGGTATGTGAGGACAACTTTGCTCCATCGATTCTCGGTGATTTCAGGCCCAGGAAAAATGTTAGCGGTTGCGGCGAAGAGCATCGGTTCGATGAGCGAGGTTTAAGCTTGATAACGCTTCTTCTAGAGTGTGCGGTTGCTATCTCCATTGACAACCTCAGTGAAGCTCATAGAATGTTGCTTGAACTTACCCAAATGGCTTCTCCTTATGCTCTTTCTTGTGCGGAAAGGGTTGTCGCGTATTTCGCTAAGGCCATGTCTAGTAGGGTTATTAATTCGTGGTTAGGGATTTGTTCTCCCTTGATTAACTACAAAAGCCTTCATTGTGCTTTCCAAGGTTTTAACAATGTCTCTCCCTTTATCAAGTTCGCTCACTTCACCTCCAACCAAGCCATCCTCGAAGCGTTTCATCGGCGCGATCGGGTTCATATAATCGACCTCGATATCATGCAGGGCTTGCAATGGCCGGCCTTGTTTCATATCCTCGCGACGCGTATGGAAGGCCCTCCCCAAATCACTATGACCGGCTTCGGTAGTTCGATGGAGCTTCTAGTGGAGACCGGTAAACAGCTTTCAAATTTCGCTAAACGTCTCGGAATGTCGTTCGAATTCCACCCGATCACAAAGAAATTCGGGGAAACTGACGTTACTACCATACAACTCCGAAGAGGGGAGACTCTAGCGATCCACTGGCTACAACATTCACTGTATGATGCCACGGGACCAGACTGGAAGACAATGAGACTAATCGAGCAATTGGCTCCGAGAGTTGTCACATTGGTGGAGCAAGACCTGTCCCATGGTGGATCATTTCTAGACCGGTTTGTCGGATCCCTCCATTATTATTCCACCATATTCGATTCACTAGGGGAGTACCTACCGGCTGATGACCCCAACCGGCATCGCATCGAGCATTGCCTTTTGTATAGGGAAATCAACAACATATTGGCAATTGGGGGGCCGGCCAGAAGCGGGGAAGAGAAGTTCAAGCAATGGAGAAGCGAGCTGGCAGCAAGGAATTGCTTGGTGCAAGTGCCGATGAGCAGCAACTCGATGGCGCAGGCACAACTGATATTGAACATGTTCCCTCCGGCTCATGGCTATAGGCTGGTACAAGGAGATGGCACACTTAGGCTCGGCTGGAAAGATACTAGCTTGTTCACTGCTTCGGCTTGGACATCACATTCCTCTCGATAGCTAGAGATACCTTCTTTTGCAGTGATTTTTAATTATCTTCATCCTTTGTATTACATATATATATATATATATATATATATATATATATATTGTTTATCAAAAAAAAAATAATTCAATACTGCTATCAAGCGATCTTAATGGTTTAAGGGATGATTAATATTTTTTGAAGTTTCGGGCTCAAACACAAAATCTTTAGAGATATATGAATGTTCATTGTCATAATTAAGAGTCTTTTATACATATGTTATCTTATAATTGTCATAGTTTAATCATTTTTCATAATGTTAACTATGAACCTGATAGAACTATGTACTATTGAGAGGGGGACTTTTTCTAAAAAAATTAGTGTAATAGTATTTAAGGTACTAATGAGTTTAAATATTATTATTATTTATTGAATTTCAATATTAATTAAATTTAACATTGTTTCCAAATTTGACATATAAATATTCAACCGTCTTTTTCGAAATTAGAAAATTTGACTCTCCGAATGTTCAATTTTAGTTTCATCACTGGTGATGAAATTCATTTTTTTATAGTTACCTGATCAAAATAAAAATATATTACTACATAATTTACAATAAATTTAATTAGTTCAACTTTTACAAATTGGGGTTTAAATAGTTAAAATCCTCTAAAATAAATGAAATATCCCTCATAAACTTCAAATTTGCCAATGAGGTCCCTCTCATAAACTGAAAAAATTTAATTACTCGGATTTAATTCACATTATAAAAATTGACAAACACGGGAGAGCCCAAGACACGAACGGTGTAGATGGATAGAGAAGTAAATCCAACGGTGAAACATCATTCAAAAGCTAATATTAAATAATTTCCAATAGAAAAACGGATAAGGATTACGGATGAGATGACCATTAGTCAAAGCAAGTAGACCGTATAAATATACGTATCTTATTTCTTTTACAGATTTTATAATTTTCACCTTCAAAGACACTGAAACGCTCCACGCGCTTCGCTGTTTTCTTTCTATCTTTCCTCTTCCTTCTCCTCCTCCGCACCCAGCGGTTTCCTCTCTGTAAGAAAATTCCGATATTAGTAATCCTTTTCTCTTCCTTCGTTATTATTATTTATTATCAGTTCTTAACGAACAGAAACTGTCGAGGGAAGTGGTTTCTAAGTTTTGTTTTCGAGGCAAAACGGGTTGAATTTCGAAGAATTTGGTGTTTCACTTTATTCATAGCTTGAAGATTTAGGTTTTCGGTGAACGGCGTGATTTAAGCGGTGAATTTCCACTTCCGGTGAGAAATAAAAGATCGTGTAGTCTTTTTCCATAACAATCGGAGTGAAGTTTTGTAATTATATTTTCCTGCGGCATCGTCAAGTCACCTAGATTTTGAAAGCGCTTTTTAGCAAGAAATTTCTTGAAGGCGAAGTGGCGTTGGTTTCTTTTGACTGTTGCATTTGAAGAATTGAAAGCGTTAGGGTTTTAGAGTGGTTGATAAGGTAGGCGAGATGTCATTATCTTTAAAAATGGAGATTGATACAATGGACGACGTTACTTGTTTGGACCCCGAGCTTTTGCAGCTTCCTGAAGTGTCTCCATTTGCACTAAAAACCAGTCCTCAAATTGTCGAGGACTTGTTCGCTCAATGGCTTTCGCTTCCAGAGACCGGCCATCTGGTACTTCATTTTTCAAAAAATTAAACTATTTTTACTATTGATTTGTCTATATGTTTTTTCAATATTTCGTAGATAGTAGATTTTGTATTCAACTTTAATTGGCTGCCTATTGATGAATATAATGTCTAATGTTGTTAACTGTTGTAATTTGAAAGTCAAATTATTTTAATTAAAGCGTGAATTAGTAATATATTGATGTCTTTGAATCTGACTGGTGAAGTAAACCTCAAGATGACCGGTGTAGGTTTCCATGAATGGCTGGTCATTACCACCAGTTCCATATAAAACCCATAGGAATAAAACTCAAGTTATGAGGATTAGATAGAAGTATAAAAACTAATTATTTCCAAGTAAGGGACATAATCACAGACATAGCTTCAATATTATAAAAAAGAAAAGGAGTTGAATATTGTTGATACTTCAGCATTCTGTGTGATGGATCATGAGTTACCATTGTTATGATGCCACTGTGGTTTTTTGAAAGTGGAAAACAACAGTGTGTAGATGGGTACGAACTTATATTTATTGCAACCTAGAACAAACATCTCTGACATTTTGACTCGTAGTCATAGAGTAACTTATTTGGAAGTTTTTATGGTAGTAAATGAAAATACTCGATTCGAGTCATGTTAATGCCATTAGTTCATGTTAATAGATTATGAAATTCATTTCTATTAACATGGTATTCAACAGACACATGTATGTCTGCATTATTTGCATAAGTTGGATGTGTTATGTGTTTGTAATCTTTATATTCAATGTAAGTTATGTTTAGAGTTTGATGTATCAATTTAACTTGCACTTCTGCACTCCTCCCTTTATTTTGGAGGAAAAATGTTTTTTTTTTGTGGGGGGGGGGAATTGTAACACTGCATGTGGTACCTATAAATTTATGGTAGAATTTTGTAAGATTTTGAGATTTTTTCATTATTACTTTTTAAATGGCTATGATAGGGATAATTTTTGTTTTCCCTGATGACTGAATTTGATATAGTTGGGAACTATGAGAAGTTAGAATCTTTCCTGCAGTTAGGTCATTTTCTTTTCTGTTTGCTAGATTTTCCTTTGCTAGCAATTTGTATCTATCAATACATGAATGTTTTTTATCATGCAACAAACTTTCATTTCTTGAGAACAGGTGAAATCTTTGATTGATGATGCGAGGGCAGGGACTGCAGTAAATGCCTGTGCGAACTTTTCTAATGGAAATGCTGTTGGGAGCAATTCTTTTCCTTCCATGTTTTCCAGTGCCAGTGCACCTCCACTTTCTCCAAGAAGCTCATCTGGTTCTCCTCGCTCATCCAAGCAGAAATCGAGCCCTTCAGCTCTTGGCTCTCCATTGAAATTACTTAGTGAATCAATGCAAGAAGTTATTCCACAGGTTTGTTTGATATTGGAAGTCCTCTTCCAGATATTGTTATATTGAAAGCTTTTATTAGATTTGTGGTTTTGGGCTTTACCACCTAAAATTGCTAAAAAGTAATTATAAAGTTTGTCTGATAATTGCTTGCAGTTTTATTTCCATAATGGTCGTCCTCCTACAAAGGAATTGAAAGAACAACATCTTTCTGAAATTAACATCCTTTTCGATAATCCTCTAAATGGATTGAAAATAGATGGTGAGATATATAATTGATCTTTTCTGTTCATTTGTATTTTAAGTCCCCCCACCCCTGCACATTATCTTCCAGTTATTAAGGTTTAAAAAAACCCTTGAAAACTGAACGAAATAATGTTTTTCTCTGGCTATGCAGAGTTTAAAACAGTGACAAAGGAAGTTTGCAAGCTACCATCTTTTCTCTCTTCCGCGCTTTTTAGAAAGATAGATGTAGACTGTGTGGGATTAGTGACCAGGTATGCACTCGATTCATCTTTGTAGATGAATAGTTGTTTTATGTGGCTGCTGAAGCAGTCTGGTGAAAGTACTTAATAGATGGTGTTGACTGCATTATTTGATAGTGCTTCTATCGTACATTATTAAGTTTAACACTTTGTTTCAGAGATGCTTTCATCAAGTATTGGATGGATGGCAATATGCTGACAATGGATATAGCAACTCAAATATTTGAAATTCTTAAGCGGCCAGACCAAAGTTACCTCACTCAGGTTTATTTTGCACTCCATCTCTCATAGGTTTTCCTTTTGTTTTCGCTTTGAAATAATTGTTTTGATTAACAATTGTTCCTCTGTTAAAATTATCCTCTCAAAGGCCTAAAGTTTCATGTATACTTTTCTTCATAACATCATTTGGGATTTGGGATGCAGGTTGACTTCAAACCTGTTGTCCGAGAGCTTTTGGCAACCCATCCAGGATTAAAATTCTTGCGAAACACACCTGAATTTCAAGATAGATATGGTATGCATTTTCTTAATTGTGAGTTATTTTAATAATGTCTATCAAGCTGTGAATCTATTTCCTTTTTTCATGTCTTTTTTTTTTTTAATTATTTGTGCAAAGCTAGATTAGTTTTTGAACACGTAATCTACCAGCAAATTTGAATGCAGTCCCATTGATTGATTCAATCTCAAGGATGGTGATTTTGATGGGAGAACATCATAGGCATAATTTATGAAGGTGTTGTATGCATAGTATACGACATAAGTCTAATGTTCTTATAGGCTCCTTGCCCTAGTGGGTTGACAAGCACTCAGAAGTTGGAACATGTTTTTTTTACAGCAGCAAATTTATACATCCTGAATTGGCATGTTGAATTTGTACGTGCTGATTTTATAATTTTCCTGTGGAAATCTCATCAAAAATTGATTCTTGAACCTCATGAATAAAAATAAATTTAGAGCAGTTATTGAATGAGGAATATTTAGTTGGTGAAGAACACATAAAGAATAATAACCAGGAGATTCTATGCAGTTTTTGTACGATAATTGTGTAATTAAGGTAAAGGGCCAGTAAATGGGGTTCTAAAGATGGGAATCGTTGTGCTTGATTCTTGAGACAACATATTTGCTTCAGGAATTGTTCCCACATCATTTAAAATTAAGGGAGAAAGAGGGTGAGGAGGGGATCATTCTCTCTTTATTGTCAAGCTGAAAATGCCTCTAGAAGAGTTGGTTTTGGTCTAACTGTTGAGGTGGTACCGAGGACCATTTCATTCTTTTATGTTTTATTTTTGTTTCACCAATGATTGGACATTCAATACTGGCACAACTGATACTGGACAATATCAATTTCTTTGTTAATGTTTCAGCTGAAACTGTCATATACAGAATCTTTTATACCATGAATAGATCGGGAAATGGCCGTCTTACCCTCAGGGAGCTCAAATGTGGAGAACTGATTTCTGCCATGGAACATGCAGATGAGGAAGAGGACATTAACAAAGTCCTTAGGTTGGTATCTGGGGTGAACAACTTTACAGTATATGTGCTTTATTTTATTGAAAGCTGCAACATACAAACCCTTGCACACCAAACAGTAATTATGTAAAACCGAGACTACAATATCTCCATCTACTGTCTTTAGTTGGATGGTAAAAGCAAGGAATTTATTTCCCCTTACATTGCTGAATGGTCTGTGAACAATTGAACATTGTTCAAAGCTGTTTATCAAATTGTTGTCACGTGAATTACTAATGCTGCAAATTGTACCTCTTTCTTCTTCTTTTAGGTACTTCTCGTATGAACACTTTTATGTTATATACTGTAAGTTCTGGGAGTTGGACACAGACCATGATTTCTTCATCGACAGGGAAAGCCTCATCAGATATGGCAATCATGCCCTTACCTACAGGATTGTTGATAGGATTTTTTCACAGGTTGGTTTGCCCTCGTTCTCAGTCATCTTATCTAAATTTCTGAATCAATTAGACTCTATTTCAAGTACAATAAAACTTTTCCTATATATGATGTTGCTTTGGCTGCAATTGTAAATGCATGAATTCCATCTCAGGCTCCTCGGAAGTTTTCCAGTGAGTTAGAAGGGAAGATGGGTTATGAAGACTTTGTTTACTTCATGCTTTCAGAGGAGGACAAGTCATCCGGCCCTAGTATTGAATATTGGTATCTTTATATTTGTTTTTACATCTCACATTTCCTAAAGAAATTACACTACAGAGTTTTAGACTTCCCTTGGTTGGATGGAAAATGGAAGGATGGGGTAGAGAAGTGGATAGAAAATAAATTTTGAGTGTGCTTGGTAGGAAATAAAAGTGGGGGAAAGAAAAGGAGAGGGATGTGACTTGATTCAAAATATGTATTTTTCAAAGCTTAATTTTCTTTTCATTTTTCAGCTCTACCAAACAATGAATGGAAAGGAAATTATATTTTCTTAAAAATTTTCCGTCCTTCCAACCAGTTACACCATTGGAAAGAAAAAAAATGTTTTTTCATCTTTCCATTTTTCTAACCCTTAAATTTTCAATCTTCCCAATCTTCTCTCCACTCTACCAAGCAAAGCCTTGCAGGGTTTTGTTGCTTATCTGAAGTGAGTTGAATTCTTGTTGTCTAGGCATTTACAAGTCCAAAACACTCCTTGTTTATCCCTCCCTGGTCTTAGGCTGACATGGGTAGAGTTTTAATTTATGTTTTCCAGTTCTCCTGCAAAATTCTGTGGTTCATCATATCAAATGAACATTTGTTTGCAAGAACAATATACAACCGTTCTTTTGTGCCTTGTATCATCAAAAACTTTTTCCCTGATCTACTAGATCAGCTTTTATCATCTGATTAGTTATCTCTATAGGTTCAAGTGCATAGATTTGGATGGAAATGGTGTGCTCACTCCAAATGAAATGCAATTTTTCTACGAGGAGCAGCTGCACCGAATGGAATGTTTGGCCCTAGAACCTGTGCTCTTTGAGGACATATTATGTCAAATCATTGACATGATTGCACCTGAGGTTGAAGCTACTTTCTTCCTAAAAACCGTGATTTCATTTTACCTGCTTGTTGCATGTGAAGATGATGCAACTTGCTGATATTTTGCAGAGAGAAGATTGTATCACACTACGGGACTTGAAAGGGAGCAAACTTTCAGGAAATGTTTTTAACATCCTCTTTAATCTTCATAAGTTTATGGCATTCGAAACCCGTGATCCATTCCTTATTCGGCAGGTCAGTGATTGCACTATTAGATATTGAGCGTTAAATTGATGCTAGTTTAGTTCTCTGTGATGTCAGTAACCTGCTTTTTCTTTTCCCTTTTGGTGTGTGCGTGGGTGAGCAGGAACGAGAGGATCCAACTTTGACAGAGTGGGACCGATTTGCACATAGGGAGTATATCAGGCTTTCAATGGAAGAAGATGTCGAAGATGCCTCAAACGGAAGTGCTGATGTATGGGATGAGTCCCTTGAAGCTCCATTTTAAGTTTCCTGAAGCAAGTTTCGTAGGACCCTTGGTCAAACATATTCGGAATGAATGAAGCTACATGGGGATACTGCTGCTGCCAAAAATACGAAGTCGGTTCGAATAGCTTTTACATGCATATATTCTGATCAGCATGATATATGCATTGCCGTGTCGTGTGCGGGAAAGAGCCGGTTGCTTCATTCGACGAGGGATGATCCCGTACCTTCCTTGTTCAGTATGAACAGTATATTATTCGTTAGTGTGTTAAATGTCGTTGTTTCGTTTCATTAATTGATTAAACAACCATTTGCTGTTATGATTGCCGGTGGGCTCATCCCTTCTCTTTTGCTTTTTCTTTTGGGTTCTGTAGTCTGTATAATGTAGATCTTCTTCTTTTGGGATTTTGTGGGGAAAGGGAAATTGCAATTTATGGAACATAAGTTTTAGAACAAATCCAGTATTTAAATATTTAGTATTTTTACGTTGACTTTTTTTTACGTGTGAGTAATGAGTTTTGCATGTTTATAATCACACTTAATTAAGTACAATGTATAAATGAAATTACAAACACAATCAAATAACATTTAAATTTTAATTTTAATAATATTTAAATTTTAATTGAACCAAAAATTTTGACCGTTTCCATCATATATTTAAGATAATTGATCAACATACTGGTAATTTGTCACAATTTAATTGATTATTAAATGATAGATATCAGTGTAAAAAATTATTAAGTTCAAGGATCAATTGATGTATTAACCTCTAATATATGATTTTACTTGGATGGGGAACTATCAATTCTCGAATTAGGACGATGTCTTCCGCCTTTGTCGGATTTAGTACAACGAAAATAAAATAAAATACTTGGCGGTTTTTCCATTGACAACGGCGTATTTCAGCTTAAAATAAGAAACTTCATTTTTTCCATCTTACCAAATAATTGAATAAATCAATATTTAATTCCTGACAACATATTTTTTTAATTCGGTCCCTATGTTTAGATTTTTCGTCCATTTAATGACATGAAATTTAAGGATTAATGTGAAAAGATTTGTCAAAATTTAAAATTGATATGTAATAGAAACGAGTTTAGAGGATAAATTAAAGGAACTTAATAAATTTAGGGACTAAATGTTGCTTTATCATGTATCTCATTTCATCCGCATCATTCTTCATTGCGTTGTTCCATGACTGTCTTGTCTCCTAGAAAATAGCAAAAGAAAGAAAATAATTACAAAAGAAACGCTTCGATGAAGGAACTTTTTGTACAATTTCCAATCCGTTGCTACTTGCCTGAAAAGGAGTTGGCTTTTCCCATCTAATCTCACCACTCTGCAAAGTAAGCTTTAAAAGACAACGATAATAAGATGTAAAGATGCAATTTTTCAACCTGTAATTTGAGAAAGAAAAAATAATTTTAGTGATCGAAAATACCTTGTAATATACGATTTTAATTAATTTTTGTTGGATATGCGAAAATGACCAACAAATTCGCAACGCGATCTCGAATTCGCAACGCGAACAGGTAAATCGCAACTTGAATTTTAGTACTGTTTACCTATATCGGTAATTAGCGTTGCGAATTTGAAAATCGCGTTCGCATCGCTAATTACCGATATAGGTAAACAGTACTATCGCAATGTAAATAGTACTATTGCAATACGATTTTCAAATTCGCAACGTTAATTACCGATATAGGTAAACAATACTATCGCAATGCGATTTTCAAATTCGCAACGCGATTATCAAATTCGTAACGCTAATTACCGATATAGGTAAACAGTACTATCGCAATGCGATTTTAAAATTCGCAACGCGATTTTCAAATTCGCAACTCTAATTACCGATATAGGTAAACACAACTATCGCAACGCGAATTTGAAAAATCTCGTTGCGATTTACATATTCGCATTGCGTATTTGGAAACTGTGTTATGAAATTGGAGTTCGCGTTGCGAATTTGTTGGTCATTTTCGCAAATCCAAAAAAAAGTTTGTTAAAATCGTATATTATAAAATATTTTTGGTCACTGAAGTTATTTTCTCTTTGAGAAATTATGATTTGTTCCTTTTTCCTGTATATGGATTTGGATCCTCCATGATGAAGAAGAGGGAGTCTGCTCCAAAAAGGCTGATGTGTTGTTTTGAATTTGAGCAATATTTGAATCCACCATTTGATGGCCTAGTGATGATATTTGTTTCTGGATTTCATCAATGAAATTGATCTGACATCCGATTGTTAAAGTCTTTAGCTGTTGAATGCTGCCAAGATGTTATTTGTTTGTTTGGTTTCTTTCATGCAGGGTGATGATTTTCACCATTTCCTTCTTTCTATTTGCCAGTGACAAACGGTTTAATGTTTTTACTCACAGTTTTCTATGTATTATGTGTTAATGTCTTTAATTTGATGGCGTTTTAATGGCAGTAAATGATTAGGGTCGCTTGTTTAGAATTTCGATGGTTGGCTGGGCGGCAATGCAGAGATATGAACAGAGGAGTTGGAGTCCTTTTATCCCATAAGACCCGAAAGCTTAGCTGATATTCCAAAGACTCGCTCTCGGCCTAGGGTCTGCATCTTTCACTCACCACTTCCCTTGATTTTCTCTTCACTTCTGTTTATGTTTGTATGCATTTTTCCCAGGTAGGGAAAACACTAAGTGCAAGAAGATGGCAGGCTGCATTCTCCGAAGATAGTCACCTGGATATAGAAAAAGTTCTTAGGCGGATCCAACGAGGAGTGTGCTTCATTCGGGTTCTGTTTATAATTACGCTGCTTTGATAACACATACACGCACATCTTTTTTATATCTATATAGGCAATTTGGATTAAAGAACAGACACATGCTGTTGGACATTGAATGAGTGTTGCAGCATTTAAAATTTTTGGATAGGATTATGAGTTGATTAGATGAGAGTTCTAAGAATCATGGCTTTAAAGTCTTTAATGAAATTCTTTAATTTTGTTCAATGTGCGATTGCCGTAGCGAGTTCTATGTTATTAGCACACTAATAATCAAAACATCGTATTTTCTCCAATGCCAGTGCATATTTGTGTATATGCACATGTTTTTGTCTCTTTTTTCATGATTGTTATTCAACTGGGTGCCTGCTCTGTCATTTTACACTGGTGTGGTTTGCAGATAATTATTTAATGTTTATCATGTTGAAAGTTCAACAACTTATATCGAATCTCAAGAATTAATTGTTATTTGCTTTACTTGATTTGTTATGGTAGGGTATTCACCCTTCAATCAAAGGGTTAGTCTGGGAATTCCTTTTAGGTTGCTTTGATCCTAACAGTACCTTTGATGATCGGAATCAGCTTAGAGAACAAAGGAGGTAACAACTTTATGATTCAATCACAATGCTCTGCATTTTGTTTCTCTTAACGATGATGTTGTACTTTTCGTAAGTTGGTCGATCATCATGACTGAATTTTTCACACTACCCATCCCAGGGAGCGTTATGGCTTTTGGAAGACCGAGTGCCAGAATATGGTGTCAGTTGTCGGTAGTGGAAAGTTCATTATACAACCAATTATTACCGATGATGGCCAACCGATAGGAGTCGAAGGTTGTGATGTGCCACATGCTGTTTCAGACAAGAAAGTTGCCCAGTGGATGCATTCCTTGCATCAAGTCGGTATGTACGGTGTATAGTTTCATGCTCAACTGATTGGATCTTCTGTATACTTTACGGCATCGGAACATAAATGTCTAGCATATTCTTATTAACATTCTATGATGCTGGGTTAATGGCATGAATAAACCGGGCTTCCTTTGCAGCTCTAGATCATCAATGCATCCGTCTAAAATTACAATTGTTGCTTTGGTTAAATTTCAAAGGTCCTTATGTACTTGATGTATGTGGTCTGTAGGTTTGGACGTTGTTCGAACTGATCGAGCACTTTTCTTTTATGAGGATGAAGCTAATCAAGCAAAACTCCGGTATATTCTATGATGTTCTTGCTATATATTCTTGGGTAGAGATGATGATATCGGTTATGTTCAAGGTGAGTAGCAGCTGGTAGTTGCGTTATTTTTTTTACCAAGCTTAAATTCTCTCATCCTCGACATTTTCGGCTTTGTTCTTTCATGAGCAGGAATGAATGACATCTGCTCTCCGATAGTAATTCTTCTTGAAGACGAAGCTGACGCCTTTTGGTATTTTGAGCGCGCAATGCGCAGATTGGTAAAATGTTTATTTCTTGCAGTATTCTTGATAGCATAATTGATTAGTAATTCGTCTTTCGTGCTCGTTTCCGTATAATGTTTACGGTTTTATATTCCGTGAAGTACGAAGTCGGACTTCTGGTTTTGTTTTTGTCAACAGAGGGAGAACTCTAGGTGCAGTACAACTTCAATAGGAGTGCAATCCCAGCTCGGTACACTTTCACAAGTAGTTAAAACCGTCGACCCTAAGCTTCATCAACACCTTGGTATGCCTTTTCCATCTTCATGGTTTTACAAATTTTTTTTACGCCGCTCGACTAAAATCTCGAGAATTTTGTGTGACAGAGGATCTAGATGGCGGCGAGTATTTGTTTGCATTTCGCATGCTAATGGTGCTTTTCCGGAGAGAGATCTCTTTTGTCGATGCTTTGTATCTTTGGGAGGAGAGAGGAATGATCTCTTTCTAATTATACTAAGACAGAGATTGGTTCAAGGTAATGTGGGCAATGGAGTACAAGTATCTTCTGCTACTACGAGCAACCGGATGCTGCTCTAGATAACCACACTGCACAACCAGTAGATCGGAAGATGCTTAAGCAGTACGGTAAATTCCAAATAAAAAATGTGCAGCGTGGACATGGGGATAAAAGCAGTGCACTCTCGGTCTTCCTTTTTGCAAGCGTTCCCGAGACCAAGAATAAGTAGATTCTGAAGGATGCTAAGGGTCTCGACGACATTGCCAATGTATCTCTCTCGTGCTCGTAAATCTTCGATTCTGCAGCATTTCTCTCGCCTTTAAAGTCTTCTTCTTCTTCTAGATATTGGGTCAGATTACTCGAAACTTGGATGCCAAGAAAGCATGTAATCAGGCACTGAAGATTCAAGACAAGTACTTGAAAAAGGTAAGTTTATATATATATATATATATATATATGAAAACAGTTCATTAAATGGATAAATTGGTTATTTATTTATTTATTTGCATTTTTTTAAATGTAGGCCAACAAGTCATAGGTGCAATCTCTTCAGACCATAAACTTTTGTATACTTCAATATCATTTTTCTTCTGATATTTTAACCTTTCCTTGGTTTTTGTATTTTTTTTTGTAATGCTTAATTCTGCAATTCGTGGTGTAATAAATTTGATTTAGTTTATTATATTTATTGTAATTTTGTTGATATAACTATCACTATTTGACTTATTGACCGATTAATTAAAATCAATTACTGTAAAAATTTATTAGGTGGATGATTCTAATTTTATATTTTATTTAACCGATAATTAATTATGATGTTATTGTATTTTTTTTATAAGATAAACCTCCTAAAGTTATTATTATTAAACTGGTTATAGTCTAGGAAAATGAAAAAAAAGCTAAAAAAACTAAACCCCAATGTTTAGGCGAGAAACATAAAAGGAAACTCAAAAACAAATTGGCCATTTTTCTCATCTAAAATTGTGTTTTTAAAGTTTTTTTTAGAAGTAAAATATATATTTTTATAGTTTATGATACTTGAGTGTAAGATCTCTAGGAATAACACCCTTAACGTTTAGAGAATACATAAACTATATGTTATATTTTTAGAATTAGTATCAAACTGGCATAATAAATAAGCTATGGAGGTTAAATTTCGTATTTTTGCTGATCATAATTATGTAAAACTTATAGAAAATTTTAAAAACGTGATTAATTATCATTAACTAATCACTTTTGAAATTAATATAAGTAATTACTTCTTAGAGAGCGATTTGTTGTGGAAGACGGGTTAATTTCCACCAATAATAACAAATTCACCTTGAAAACTATTATCTAGGTGACTAGTGTGAAAACGATTGTACTAAAAATCACCCCAAGGTAGATTCTCAAGAAAGAGTGGAGGGGTCACAATGATCCCTCTTAAAACCCACTCTCCTTAGACAAAACTACCAAGACAAGTAATTTTAACAGGACAATAATTAACAACTATACCCGACAATAGCTATTAAATGGACATAAAAGAGAACACCAAAATTTAACGAGGTTAGGCCAAAATTATGCCTAAGTCCTCGAACACTACTAAAATAATATTTCACTAATAGATAAAATATTACAAAGAGAGAGAAAGAGTACAAATAGCCTTTAATATAGAAGACGACTTATATTTGTGGGGATGATTATCTAAGGATGAGGAGGGCTTTATTTATAACAAAGAATTTCCCCTCATCCTTATACAAAACCAATGTGGGATTCAAAATTTGCCAAAAACCCAACAAATCTCCACCTTGGCAAATTTCACACACATCTCTCAAAAAAATCCAATCTTCAGTAGTGTCTGCAAATTCATCTTTCAATTTGTAACAATATTGACCAAGTCTAAACAATGTTTAAACTTGACCGCAGTTACAACTTTTGTCAATATATCAGCAGGATTCTCAGTGGTCCGAATCTTCTGGATTATGACTCCACATTCTTCTAGAATCTCTCATACAAAGTAATATCGAACATCGATGCGCTTCGTCCTTGCATGGTAAACGTGGTTCTTTGCTAAATGAATAGCACTCTGACTGTCACAATGCACTTTGATGTGCTTTTGTTCCATTCCCAATTCACCAAGCAACCCTTGAAGCCAAATTGCCTCATTCACAGCCTCTGTAACTGCCGTATACTCTGCCTATGTAGTAGACAAAGCCACAATTGACTGTAAGGTGGACTTCCAACTGACTGGTGCTTTTGCAAATGTAAACACATAACCAGTAGTTGATCGACGCTTGTCCAAATCACCTGCATAGTCTGAATCACAATACCCAACTACACACTGACCATCTTGTTTGTCCTATTGAAAGACCAAACCAACATCTACGGTGTTCAGAATATACCGCAGAATCCATTTCATAGCTTGCCAATGCTCATTTCCAGGATCATGCATATACATGCTCACAACCCTAACTGTATATGAAATATTGGGTCTCGTACACACCATTGCATACATCAAGCTACCAACAACACTTGCATACGGAACCTTTGACATGTATTCTTGTTCTGCATCATCCTTGGGTGACATGGATGCACCGACCTTGAAATGAGGAGCAAGAGGTGTACTAACTGGTTTTGACTTCTCATTCATGCCAAAACGTTTTAGTACCTTCCTCAAATATTCTTTCTAAGACAAACAAAGCCTCCCCAATTTCTTATCCCTTGATATCTCCATGCCTAGAATCTTCTTCGCTTCACCAAGATCCTTTATCTCAAACTCCCTATTCAATTGAGTCTTTAGTTTCACAATTTCTGACTGACTCCTGGAAGCTATCAGCATATCATCAACATAAAGAATAAGATATATATAGGATTCGTCTTGTAGCTTGCGTAAATACACACAATGATCATATTTGCTTCTTGTGTACTTCTGCCCTATCATAAACTTGTCAAATCGCTTGTACAACTGCCTTGGAGATTGCTTCAATCCGTACAACGATTTTTCTAATTTGCACACAATCTCTTCTTTTTCAGCAACTTTGAATCCATCTGGCTGAGTCATGTAGATTTCCTCATCCAAGTCTCCATGTAAAAATACAGTTTTTACATCAATTTAAACTAGTTCCAAATTCAACTGTGCTACCAAAGCCAACAAAATTATGATGGAGGAATGTTTTACAACTGGAGAAAATACTTCATTATAATCAACTCCCTTCGTTTGAGCGTAGCCTTTAGCCACCAATCTTGCTTTGTAGCGGATGTTATTCTTGTCAGGAAATCCATCTTTCTTTGCATATACCCACTTGCACCCAATTGTCTTCTTTCCCTTCGGAAGACTAGCTAGTTTCCATGTATGATTCTTTTGAAGGGATTGCATTTCTTCATTCATGGCGATCCTCCACTTTTTATGTTCTGAACTTTGGACTGCTTCATTAAAAGTGGCAGGAACGTCATCAATTGCAATTGGTGATGCAAAATAGACCATATCAGCATAACGAGCAGGTTATCTAATGGTCCCCTTTCCCTTTTTGAGTGCAATTAATTCATATTGCTATGGAGGTTCTTGGGTCTGAACCTCTTCTTCATCTGACTCTTCTTCTACCATAGGAGAGTCAACATCAATTTCTTTACTGGCTGGGACAATTCTGCTTCTTTCAAACTCCGCCTGTTTGGGAGTTCCATCTTTCTGCTCCAATTTTTCTTAAGTCACCTTTCTCAACATGGTAGATTCATCAAAGGTAACATCTCTGTTGAAGATTATTTTCTTTGTTTCTGGACACCAAAGACGATAGCCTTTCACACCAGAGGTGATCCCCATAAAGATCGCCTTCTTTGCTCTTGGATCCAGCTTTGACTCCTTAACATGGTAGTATGCAGTGTAACCAAACACATGTAAGGAATCATAATCTGTAGCAGGTTCTCTAAACCATTTCTCTAATGGTGTTTTACCACCAATAACAGTAGATGGTAAGCGGTTGACAAGGTGACAAGCATAAACCAAAGCCTCAGCCCAAAATTCTTCGCCTAACCCAGCATTAGACAACATACACTGAACCTTCTCCACTAATGTCCGATTTATACGCTCTGCCACCCCAATCTGTTATGATGTATATCTGACAGTGAAGTGCCTAACAATACCTTATTCTTCACAGACTTTCAGAAATGGATCATTTTTGTACTCTCCACCATTATCTGTATGGAGACATTTGATTTTTCTGCCTGTTTGAATCTCCACCATCTTTTTCCATTTAAGGAAAAAACCTAGCACCTCATCCTTTGTCTTCATTGTATACACCCAAACTCTCGGGGAAAAATTATCAACAAAGGTGACATAATAGTGTGTACCTCCCAAAGAAGTTGTCTTGGAAGGCCCCCATACATCTGAATGAACATAATCCAAAATACCTTTAGTATCATGGATTGATGTTCCAAATTTCACCCTCGTCTTCTTCCATTTGATGCAATGCTCACAAAAAACTAATTTGCAAGCCCGAACACCCTTCAATAATCCTTGATCTATCAGCAATTTCAAGGATTTTTCACCAGCATGCCCCAAGCGCATATGCCATAACCTGGTTGCTTCTGACTCCTGTTCATCAGTAGAAGTCGTCACTGCTGCTGTCCCAACAATTGTACTACCTAGAAAGTAATACACATTGTTTTTTTTTTATTCCCTTCATTATCACTAGTGCACCAGAGATACTCCTCATAATCCTATCTTTAACCCTCACTTCTAAACCTTTTGACTTTAAGGTTCCCACAGAGATGAGATTTCTCATTAAATCTGGTACATATTGGACACCTGTTAAGGTTCTGATTGATCCATCCTGATTCCTCAAGCGAATTGAACCAATCCCAAGTGTGTCAAGAGGGGAATTATTTGTCGTGTAGATAATTCCACCTTTTAGTTATTTAAAATCAAAGAACCATTATCTAGTGGGGTCATATGGTGGCTACAAGCTAAATCTAATAGCCATGAACTGGAACAGTTGGTTGATGACGTAGTAGCGAATGCAAAATCTGAATCTGCATCATCATACTCGACCACATTTGATTCTGAGACAACCTTTTCCCTTTCAGGTTTGTCTTTATTCTTTAGCCTGGACATTTTTTCTTCTAGTGCCCTTTTTCTCGACAAAAGACACATTCATCTTTGCTCAATATGGACTTTGACTTTGACTTCGATCTCCATCTCCTTCCTTTATTCTAACTCTTCGAATGGCCTCTAACAACAAGAGCTTCTGCTTCGACACTTGTGTTTTCTTGTTTGTCTTTCTTTCTCAATTCATAACTATACAAGGCAACAATTACTTCACTGAGAGACACATCAACCTTCCCATGAAGTAGAGTAGTTTCAAGATACTCAAACTCATCAGAAAGTGATCCCATCAACATCAGAGTCAGATCTTCGTCTTCAAAAGTCACGTCCATATGTATCAGATCAGTCATCGGCTGATTAAAACTAGTAATGTGATCATTCATAGTGGTACCTGGTACATAGTTGAAGTGGAATAATCTTTTTTCATGTAGAGTTTGTTCTGACCGCTTTTCTTCAACAACAAAATTCCTCCAGTGCCTTCCACAATTTACTTGCAGAAGTTTCCTTAGGAAATGCATACTTCTGCTCTCTAGAAAGACACGATCAAATAGTACCACATGACAATCTATTGATTCTCTTTCATTCTTTCTCCTCAACATCATATAGTTTCTCTCCTTCAATAGCAATGTCTAGAACCTACTGAAATAGGGCATCTAGAACCTCATTTTGCCACATGTCGAAATGACCGGTGCCATCAAAAATCTCTATTGCAAATCTAACATTTGTCACAACATTTCTTGCCAAAATTGAAGATGAAGAAGCTGTTAACAACGATGTAGATGTTTTTGTGTCGTCTATCATTTCTGCTACAAATTCTATTTAATAGCTGTCAATGCGGAATGTCAATTAGCCCAAGGAAATTTTTTTCTGATGTGGAAGATCAGCCTAAGTCGCAACCACAGAGCATACTAAAATAAACCAAAAGCTCTGATGCCAATTGTTGTGGAAGATGACTTAATTTCCACCAATAATAACAAATTCACCTTGAAAATTATTATCTAGGTGACTAGTGTGAAAATGATTTTACTAAAAATCACCCCCAAGGTAGATTCCCAAGAAAGAATGGAGGGGTCACAATGGTCCCTCTTAAAACCCACTCTCCTTAGACAGAACTACTAACACAAGTAATTTTAATAGGACAATAATTAACAACAACTATACCCAACAATAGCTATTAAATAGACATAAAAGAGAACACCAAAATTTAACGAGGTTAGGCCAAAATTATACCTAAGTCCTCAAACACTACTAAAATAATATTTCACTAATAGAGGAAATATTACAAAGAGAGAGAAATAGTACAAATAGCCTTTAATATAGAAGAAGACTTATATTTGTGGGGATGATTAACTAAGGAGGAGGAGGACTTTATTTATAACGAAAGAATTTCTTCTCCTCCTTATACAAAATCAATGTGGGATTCAAAATTTGCCAAAAAACCAACACGATTTATCCAATTAAAAAATTGAGATCTCGAAATTAAGAGCGACCTAAGATTTCTTCTTTATCATAACCTATATTAGGAAACAGAAAGGGAAAGAAGAATAAGAAGAAAACAATAATCTTAAAGTTATCGCTAAATAAGAGAATTAGTTAAAACCTTCCTAAAATACATACATCTGTTCTATCTCAAACCCCTAAATTTTCGTTAAGTCATTGTTAATTTAGATTGCATTTCCATTGAATTAACGAATGTTTTGCCTTAAACCAGAAACCTCCCTTCCTAATAAACACACATTTGTCCGAAACAGTCCAGCTTTTTTGATCCAATATTATCACGTTTTTTAATTATTTAAGGTTCAAGAAACAAAATTACAGTCCCCCCCCCCCTTGAATTTTAGGAAACACACACCTCCACATGTTTAAGCATGCATGAAAGCCATGCATGTTTGTATCACACGAAATTGTGTTCTTCCTCTGAAGGTGAGATGTATTAGCGGAGCAAATGTTTCAGTGCTGTAAGAGGATTGTTCTCTATGTTACCTCGATTCGTATATCCTATACGGATATATTCATTTTTTCATATATTCGAAGGATCTATGCCTATGTCGATATCTAAATATACGAAGGACACGATTACTTAAAACAGTTTGATTTTTTCTTCTTAGTTTCCAGATTCAGTTTTGAAGCTTGATCTACTCCACCTCCATATGCTGATTTAGTTTGTAGACATCATTGAATCATAATGATGAAAGGGTTGCTAAAAGGTCTTAAGTACTTTACTCACATATTTGGTATGTATTTCCATCTCTCTCCTTATGACATTATACAATACAGAAATACATTGTGTGTGTTTGTGTGTAACCCTAATTTGTTAACATTTAAAAGAACACTAAAAAAATAAAGAAAACATTAGAAGAATTTAAGCAAGCAAAGCAAGCAGTGGATTTGTTTGGTGTTTGAGATGCTTGGTAATGATGGCTGGAAATGGGTGAACTTTATTTTTGCAGAAAGTGAAAAAGAGCCTGAAATGCAGATTGGTCTGCCAACAGATGTAAAGCATGTGGCTCATATAGGATGGGATGGTCCATCAACAGTACAGTCAAAACCCACCTGGGTAATTCACTAAAATTTAACCACAATTATAGCTATTAACATAGAGCCTGAAATGGGATACGTTCCCTTGTCCGAGTAACATAACTATTGAGTAAAAGTGTTTCGTATTGTTCTTGTAATCACAAAACCAGAAGTTGCCAACATGATTAATGGTTATATTTCTTGACTCTCTTTTTTCACTACATGCAGATGAATGAGTTTCAAACACCTCCAGGAGAGTTTCAAACACCGCCTTTAGCTCTTGCAGGAGAAGTTGGTACAAAGAACAAAATATTTTGGTTGCATCATTTGATTCATTTGTATATTATGCAATAATTATTTTGGATACAATTTTACAGAAAACAATAGTTTGAGCCGAAAAAGTTCAAGGGGTAAAAGTTCTGCAGCGAAAGACACACCACAACTGCCTAAATCATCGAAGCGTACTGCTTCAATCACAAATGGGAATGGTGTGCCTTCAACAAAGGATAAAGCAGATAAATCAAAGCAATCAAAGAAGATTAAAAAACCCAAGGAGTCGAACCAAGCTACCGATTCGGCCTCAAAAGAGCCAAAGAAAAGTAAACGAAAGAAGGTGAAAGAGTTGGTTGGTGAAGGAAGCTCGAGGCGGTCCAGAGCCACTGAATCGGATACTGTTTCTGAGGCAGGGTCCCAATTTAGTTATGCTTCAGATTTAATAGACGGGGATGGCACTTGAGTTGAGATGGAGAAAGTTAATTTTTTGTTTTCCTCTTCTGGCTGGTACTATATGAACATATTGGTAGCTACTATAACTAGCTAGTTTGCTAGACTCTCTTTTTGCTTTAGCAGAAACCAAGAGGAGTTACGTGTTCTTCCTTTTCTTTTCATTTTCTTCTATTTATGTTTCCCAGTTCCGGGAAACCTTGTATGATAACAAAACGAAAATAACTTGGAACTGGTTCTATGATTCAGTATTCAAAGAAGCAAAAGTTTCAAAGCATGGGGTGTTCATTTTAAATTTGAAATTGTACATGTGCAAGATATGATACTTAAAATGTTTAAAAATCAAAAGTAGGGAAAGATGATTAATTACTTGTTCATGTTTCCACGAGTCAACCTCAACTTTTCGCATAGGTCGTCAGCAAGGATGAAGCTTGGGGATGACCTGCCTTGAAGCATATAAAAGGATTACAAAGATCATAGTCCCCAGGGAAAAACAGAAGCAAAACAATCAAGAACAAAGTACGACGAGGAAACGTATTCATTACTGTAGATCTTTTGGAGTGTTTAAAATATACAAAACTAAAAAGGTCGAAGCATGGATACCTCATCAATCCATGCAGGCTTCTTGACCAATTCATCAGCCTTGCGAAACTCTGCCAATACCCTCAATAAATTGTTGCATCAAATAAAGGAATTTGACAGACCCATATTTTGTATAAGACCACCTTTTCTCTCTGTACACGATCCTGTTTCCACGTAAAAATAAAACCTGCGGCCATATGCCAAATCTCTCTCAATATTGATATCCACTTTGACTGCCTGTTTCCAGGGATATTCTCAGGCTTTATTATTGGCAGATAAATAGTTGAAGGGAATTTGGAACTTTCACTAACAAAATAGAACAAGATCCGTTTTCAAAAGCAATCAACTGGAGTGAGTTACTTGAACATAAAAGAATGAAGAGTCAATAAAGTTTATGGAGAGTAATTTATATTTTATCAACGTCGTATTTCAGATCAAAGACAAAGGAAAGATTCTTACCCGAGGTGGTTATCGGTCCTCGGTAGAGTAGACATTTGATCGAATCGAAAAAATCAATTTTTCAAATCGAGTCGAGTTTTACTCATCCCTAATTGCTTATGAAAAAAATACATATTTAGGCATTAAAATATCATGCATCATGCATATGGAGGGCTAACCTAAACTTTAGGTCCCAAAAGTTGATTTCAAATTTTCGTTTTTTTTATAAATCAAAATTTATTATCCAAATAGCAGAGTTCTGCTACAAACAATCAACTAATCTGTTACAAAAAGGACTATAAACAGCCTACTTACAAAAAACAAAGATTGGTTAGACTATGCCCCAAGCATTACAAAGATTATAATTAGTACTATCAATTCTATTAATATTTTTACCCTTAAGTTGAATCCTCACAGCTTCAATAATAGCCTTGAGCATGTCATCGATTGTTCTATATCGACCTTGAAAAATTCTATGATTCCTTTCCTCCCACAATATATAAATATAGGCAGTCCAAGATATCTTCAAGATTGTGGTGAGTAGTAACTTCCCTTTCCATGTTGAAGAAGCTCGAGCAACCATTTCTTCCCATGCTAAGATTGTATTCTTCAACCCGTTGAGCATTCCAAAGACGAACAGTAAGAGGCATCGAGAAAAAAGATGGTTTCTTGTCTCCTGGTCAATGCTGCAGTTAACACAAGACCCTTCTGAGTTGATTCCCATTTTAAGCAACCTATCTCTTGTAGAAAGTCCGTTCAGCAAAGCCATCCAAGCAATCAAACTAAATTTTGGAATATGCATAAGGAACCAAATTAGTTTGTGCCAAGATACTTTATCCGCATCTCAAATGCCCTTTAGTTGTAAAAGACCATAAGAGGAAATAATAGGATATACTGTAGAACACATTTTTAAAATTCTTCTTACACTCCAGCTCACAATTGAACCTGCAACATAATTCCAAAATTATTGCTCCTTTTATATGTACATTTTGATCTATGTCCATTTTCCCCTTTTATATGAAATTGAAAACCTTAAAGTTTAAAATAATACTCTAATATATGAGATTTCAAAAATTATCTATTTGAAAGTGAAATAAAATCTCAACTCTAGAAAAAAAATATTTTATTTTAAAAAACCTTAAAATATGAAAAAACTTGTAAGATTAAAGAATTATCGATACACAAAATATTTTTTAACAAATGTAATGGACCAACTTTAAAATTATTATAAAATGAAATCTTAAACGTCGCCTACTTTAATCTAAACAATATTTCTATATTTGAAAAAAATAAAATATAATTTAAGCGTTCATTTTATAATAAACCCATAATATAAATATAAGTTTCATACAAGATGAAATAGTAGGGAACAAAAGGTTAATAAATAAAGAGAAAATAACTCCAGTGACCGAAAATGCCTTATAATATACGATTTTAACCATTTTTTTGGATTTGTAAAAATGACCAACAAATTCGTAACGTGAATTCCAATTTCGCAACTCAGTTTTGAAATCCGCAACGCGAATATGGAAATCGCAACGCGAATTTGTAATTCGTAACACAGAAGTCAAATTCGCAACACATAAGTCAAATTCGCAAAGCGCGTTAATTTTCGCAACGCAAATTTTATTTTCGAATTCGAAACACAATATTAATTTCGCAACACAAATGTAAAGAGTATAATCGTAACGCATAACCTAAAACCCTAAATCATAACTCAGTCTCATCTCCATCTCTCACTCTCTACGACGACATCCGTCCCCATCTCCGGCGACATCCGTCCTCATCTCCGGCGACATCCGTCCCCATCTCCGGCGACATCCGTCCCCATATCCGGCGACCCCCCTCTATCTCCATCTCTCAGAGCCACCCTTACAACTATTCACGGCCAAAAAATGGAAAATCAACCACCGAGAGTTAGTTTTTTTAATTATTTTAATTTTGAAATCTTTGTATTATTATTAGATTTTTCATATTTAAATTGATGATAAATTACTGGTAATTTCAATATATAGATTAACCATTTCACTTAGATTGCTTAGTAAATTCATTCGGTTGCTGTCAATACTGCTAAATTGTTTAGTCTTTAACCCTGTGAAGTTAGTATTTGTCTTTTGGTTTAAGTAATACAATTCATTCAAGTTTCAATTTGCAAAAGAATAGTTTTTGAAACTTAAATTCGCAACACGAAAATGAAATTTGCAAAATCGGATTTTCATTTTCGCGTTGCGATTTTCATTTTCGTGTTGCGAATTTAAGTTTCAAAAACTACTCTTCTTCTGTAAATTGAAACTTGAATGAATTGCATTACTTCAACCAAAAAACAAAGACAAATACTAACTTCACAGTGTTGCGAATTTAAGTTTCAAGAATAAACTACTACTCTTTATGTTGTCCTTGAACCTGCACTAAACCTATGTGTTATCCTTTTAAATGTGATATAAGTGCTTACTTCTGGAATGTTATCTGATGCATTTTGTGAACTATGATAGAATAATGACTTGTGTGAATATCGTGCTAGTTTGAAACATATTTGGCTATATTTTCCATGTTTAATATCATGTCTGTTTATAGTGTATAATTTGTAGTTTTTGGTATATCTAACTTGGTATGTTTATTGTTTTTGTTAGGAATTTTTTTCGGCTTCATTGACTTTAAGGAATAAATTAATCCTAGCCACTACAATTGCGTCGACACTTACACCTGTACAAAGAAATTTGTTTGAGAAAACTTGTTTCGGGCCATGGCTGAAAGTACAACATCCAGGTGAAGATGCTATGTTGACCCATTTGTTTCTTCAGACCATGGCTAATGATCTACCCGAGAGGATACAAAGTGGTGATGAAGAGATATGGTTTCATTTTCCACCGGCGTATACTTGTTTTGGGCGGGAGGAGTTTTACTTAATCATTGGTCTACGTTTCAGACGACACAATGAAGTAGGTTGGTACACTAGTCATATCGCCTATCCATCATGGTTATTTCGGGTTTTTCCTGAGCTGAAAAAAGGAGAAGCCCAGTTTACAAGTCGACGATTATAAAAGATTACTTCTTAAAGATGGTTTTACTCGGATGTATGACCTTGATGTTATCCGAGTATGTCTTTTATTACTTTTGAATGTCGGCTTTTTAGGCAAAGAGGGCAGACAACTTATTTTTGGGGATTTAATATTATTGGTAGAGGACCTAGATGCATGGAACGTGTTTCCGTGGGGTTCATATCTATGGAAAGCTACCTGGAAAAAGTTGTCAACTGCCTTTGAGGACCATCGTAGTTTGTGTGGCCATGGTTCTAAATACACTTTGGTAGACTTTATTTGGGCCTTTAAGATAATAATTTCTATATAATGTTTCCAAAATTATAATTAATTATTTAACAATTACTAAAATTAATGTTTGTGTATTATATTGTTTGTAGATTTGGATATTTGAGGTTTTTCCCAACATGTGGACATATGCCATCAAAAAGTCAAATGATATTCCTAGGGCTATTACCTGGAGGAGGATCCGACTGTTGGATTGGGAAGATTTAATACCATATACGACGATGAATTATGTAAGTTAACACAAATACTACCATATATAAACAAGTTATTACTAGTAGATGTTTGACTTTGTTTGAGCTTTTATATTGTTAGGAGGTAAACTATCCATTACAGAAGCTGACACTCACAGAGGCTGAGCTTGCCACTGATTGGTGGCAAGCTAGTAAGCGTTTTTTTGATGGGACGGATGATGAGCACCCCCATTTCGAGAGCCATCACCTGATCGAGCCTATTCTACAGCTCGACACCCAGAGCCATCACCTGATTGAGCCGATTATACACTTCCACAACGAGAGCCATCACCTATTCCATCACATCATAGAGCCTCTTCTCCACCATCACCTCATGATAGGCGACCGACAAAGATGTCACGACATTTATCTCCCTGTTCTCCACCTCCACGAGATGAGTTAGGAGAGTTACGTGATGAGGTCAGTGTTTTACGTGATGAGGTCGGTACTTTACGTGATGACAATGGTGCATGGCGTGATGAGGTACGGTCTTT